ACATAGCTGATCCAAAAAAACCCCCTACATATAGCTGATCTTTACAGTCCTTATTAAATTAGAACAAAAAAGACAATTATCTTCTTCCAAAAAAAAATGGTCTGCTTTTATGACACACCTCTGTTCCAGCAATGCCCATCGCAAGCCCAATATCTGCCTCATGAAGTGCAGGAGCATCATTTGTACCATCACCAGTCACAGCAACAACTTCTCCCAAAGTGGTTCTCAAGTGTTTCACGAGAGTATGCTTATCCATTGGGGAGGATCTGGCCATCACCTGCAAATTCAAACATTGGCATGGGAGAAGTCATTTTCTCAAGAGCCTATAAAATGGAAATTCTTAAAAAAACTTAATAACCATCAAGTCCCAAAAGGTTTGGAATTGCTGGCCCATTGACAGGCTAGAGTTTTAAGGATGTCTGTTTCCATCATGGCACCATACAATTATTCATATTTTTATAAATAATTTTGTTAAGCTGTCCAATCTAGAATCTGCTTATGATAAGTGGAAAGTCAAGCCCTTAAACAACTAGTGCTGGCCACAACGGGTCTCTCATTCCAAATTGCAAAGTCTAAATGCTGTCAAGATAAAGTAACTTGACAGTAGAAATGCACCTGTATTTTTGGAACAATTTTATTCAATTCGTCCTCAGTCTGTTCCCTGAAACATGGGCCTTCAATTGCTATACCATCATCTGTCAAAATTCCACATTCTCTGGCAATAGCCTTTGCAGTGTTTATATTATCTCCAGTGACCATCCGGACAGTAATACCAGCTGCCCTACATAGTGCAACAGACTCCTTTACACCAGGGCGCATTGGATCTTTGATACCAACAATGCCTATACAAGTGTACCCAGTAAGAGGAAGAGGGTTCTGAGCAGAAAAATCACTTTCAATGTCCATGAAAGCAAGGCATAAAGTTCGAAGAGCTTCACAAGCAAATTGTTCAATTGTACTCTTTAGACGATTGGCTGATACTTCATCAAGAGGAACAACATTGCCATTTGAGTCTATTACCTTGTCACATGCCTCCAAGACTATTTCCGAAGCACCCTTACAGTACACCCGGAAACCTCCTTCAGGAAGCTCTATAGCTACACCCATTTTCTTCTTTGCAGAGTTGAAGGGTTCAACTTTTACTATTTTTGATGCAAGTCTCTCTGTTTGAAAGTCCCCACCAAACAATAACCCAAATTCCAAAAGAGCAGTTTCTGTTGGTGTCCCTAGGATCTCAATTTTGTTGTCTTTATTGTTAACAACCTCTCCACCAGTGTTAATAAATATTGACTGAAGTAGAATTTTAACAGCACATTCAGGAACTGCAGACCCAAGATTAAAAGATTTGTCTGTGCCACTCACTTCCTTTATCTCCCCACAAATGCATGCTTTAACAACAGTCATGTGGTTAGTAGTTAGAGTACCTGTCTTGTCACTGCATATAGTAGTGGAAGATCCCATAGTCTCACAAGCGGCCAGATGGCGGACAAGTGCCTTATCATTCATCATCTTCTTCATGGCAAAAGCAAGGCTCAATGTCACAGCCAAGGGCAGCCCCTCAGGAACAGCAACCACAACAATTGTAACAGCAACTGCAAAAAATTTTAACATTTTCTTTGCATCATCTCCAGACCAATTCCAGTGGGTTCCCTCTTGCAGCTTGTGGTTAAACAATCCCTGTACCAGAACAGCAAATGTCACAACTGCAAAAAAAAGACCTATTTTACCAATGATGGTTGCAACTCCATTCAGTTTGACCTGCAAAGGAGTCTCATCATCTCCTCCTTCACTAAGGGTAGCCATCAGTTTACCCCATTGGGTTCTCATCCCAACAGTGGTCACAAGCATCTTGCATGATCCATCCTGTACCTTGGTTCCGGAGAGAAGAAAAGGGTTTGCTTCATTGATGTTAGCTGGTTCACTCTCCCCTGATATACTGGATTCATTTATCAAAACTGAAAACCCTGAAATAAAGAGTCCATCAGCTGGGACCTGATCTCCAATAGCAAGATGAACAATATCACCAGGAAGTAGATCATATATTGATATTTTCTGCCTCAATCCATCTCTAGTAACCTGAATCATAATTTTTTTCTTCTCCTTGTCCAAATCCTTGAACTGTAAGGATTGTTTATAATCGCTCGTGGCAGTGACAAACACAACAAGCAGAATGCTTGCAACAATTCCGAGTCCATCATGGGCACCCTTTGGCCATCCTTCCATAGTAATACCAACAATAAGAGAGACAAGGGCACAAATACCAAGTATCATCAGTGTCGTATCCTGAAGGGCTTCCCATACAAACACCCAAAAACCTTTAGGTGGGGTTTCATCAAATTTATTAATTCCATAAATTTCTTTCCTTTTATTCATCAATGGTGCAGAAATAGAAATGCCATTGGTAGTTGACGTTGAGAGCTTTTCAGCAATACCCTCAACTCCCCCATGAATTTTCAACTTCTTCACATCATGACCTTCAACAATTGATCCCAACTCATCAGCACAGATTTGGAAACCTGCTGCTTTAACTTCTTCAGGCACAGTATATTCACTAGGCAAGCTTAGACCTACTGACATAAAGGAGGAATCAATGTAATCAAGCAACACAAAATGCATCCATAAACTTTTTTATGGAACAGATTAAGATATTCTTACCCTGGATAAACTGAAGAGCAGCTTGTGAAACCAAAACTGCAACCCTAAATTTCTCCTATTATGCAAAAAGGTGGGGACAAGAGAGAATGTCAAAATCAAGAACATGAAAATGAATTTCCAAAAGAGCTCAAGAATTGAATTTCTAGCTCTTGCACACTAGATGCTAATACTACAGGAACAATGCTCCCTGAGAACTTCAAAATTAAGATTAACAGGCATATTGCTCCTCAACTTCAACAGGTTCACGGCCTAAATAACAATGTCGCAGTTATGCCATGACAACCTTCCACAGTGAACAAGATGGAATGTTGAATGACCAAGAAGGAAAAGATCAGCCTATCTACCACAAATTAAATTCAAAATTTACATTTCTGGCAAAATAGAGCCATCTGATGTCCATTGAATCGCGTAAATAGACCAGAAAACACAAAGTAGGTTGAAATTTCTCATGAATTTTAGTCTTCTATTTAAAACTATGCTTCCAATTTACTCAGATAAATCAATTCAATAGGAGCTTAGACAGAAGTGTCAGAACAACAAATAGAATCACTTAACTGCCTCCGTTGGTAACAACAAAAGCAACTCATAATCCAGATATTTGATCTACTTACTAATTGCAAGGTATGTTTGAGATCGATGGTTGATTTAGAATCACCAAAAGATGAAAAATAGATCGGCCAGATCCACATAGCTTATGGAAGCAGAAAAATGAGAAAATCTGACAGGTCATAAATCCTTGGTTTCTTAATCAGGTGTGCAAGGCTAAACAGAAAAACGATCCTCAGAATTTTTTTTTTCTTAAATATATTAAATTATGCTAAATTTAGCAGGAGCTACAGCTTAGTCCTCTTCTCCTCAGTTTCCTCATTAAGCAACCGAGAAACTATATAAAAAAATAGAAAATCCAAAAGGAAAGAGAGGAAAACCTGATTAGAACGACGAATCGCCTCAGCCTCGCCTCGTTTGGATAGATT